CCTGTGTCCTCTATCTATCTATCTACCTATGCATACATATAATTTTTTTTCCCTCCCACTACCCTAATACTGACAAAGGACTCATGAATTACAAATATCATCTTTCCATGCAGGAATGTAAACAGTTCAACCTTAATAAGTCTCTTATGATTTCTCTTTCCCGTTTACCTCATCCATGTTTCACTTGAGTCTTGTATTTGAAAGTCAAATTTTCTATTCAGCTCTGGTCTTTTCCTCAAGAATGCCTGAAAGTACCCTAGTTCACTGAATTACCATTTTTTTACCCTGAAGGATTATACTCAGTTTTGCTGGGTAGGCGATTCTTGGTTGTAATCCTATCTCCTTTGCCCTCCGGAATATCATACTCCATGCCCTCTGATCCCTTAATCTTGTGTTATCCTGACTGTGTTTCCACAATACTTGAATTGTTTCTTTCTGGCTGCCTGCAATATTTTCTCCTTGACCTAGAAATTCTGGAATTTGGCTACAATATTCCTAGAAGTCTTCCTTTGGGGATCTCTTTCAGGAGGTGATCAGTGGATTCTTTCAATTTCTATCTAGCCCTCTGGTTCTAAAATATCAGGGCAGTTTTCCTTGATAATTTCTTGAAAGATGATGTCCAGGCTCTTTTTTTGATCATAGCTTTCAGACAGTCCAATAATTTTTGAATTCTCTCTCCTGGATCTATTTTCCAGTTCAGTTGTTTTTCTAATGAGATATTTCACATTCTCTTCTATTTTTTCATTCTTTTGGATTAGTTTTACAGTGCCTTGATTTCTCATAAATTTACTAGCTTCCAGTTGCTCCATTCTAATTTTTAAGGAAGTATTTTCTTCAGTAAGCTTTCGGACTTCCTTTTCCATTTGGCCAACTTTGTTTTTTAGGGCATCTTCTCCTTATTGGCTTTTTGGACCTCTTTTGCCATTTCTGTTAGGCTATTTTTTAAGGTGTTATTTTCCTCAGTATTTTTTTGGATCTCCTTTAGCATCACTCTCAGTTTTTCCTCTACTTGTCTTACTTGCTTCTCAAACTCCTTTTTGAGCTCTTCCATGGCCTGGGACCAATTCACATTTTTCTTGGAGGCTTTGGATATAGAAGCTTTGGCTTTGTTTTCTTCTGGTTGTATGTTTTGATCTTCTTTGTTACCAAAGTAATATAATATAGTCTGACTCTTTTTGTGCTGCTTGCTCATGATCCCAGCCAATTATTTGAGTTATAAACTCTTTGTTAAGGTAGGGGTCTGTTTCCAGTGTGGAGAATGTACTGTTCCAAGCTTCAGTGGTTTTGTGCAGCTGTTTTCAGAGATACTTCTAGGGACCTGTAAATTTTCAGATCTTCCAAGGTGCTGAGATCAAGGGCGAGGTGTTTACTCATTTCCTGGCCTGTGCTCTGGTCTATGAATGACCAAAGCACTCTTCTGTGTCTTGGATCTGTGAGGAGGATTTTCTCTCCACCGCCACTATAAGCTGCACCACACCAGCACTCCTCCTCACCCCAGGACTGCCACCCAGAACTGTGACCCAGATCCAAGCATGGGCAAAGCAAGAGAATCCTGCACCAACAGAGAGATCTCTGCAATTCCCCTCTGATCAGGCACTCGATTCCCCTTCAGTCTGTGGGCCCGAAGCTCAGGAAGCAGCCGCCACCCCAGGGATTGGGGCTGTGACCCCGCCGCATTTCTCTCTCACCACTGCAGAAAAAGACTTTTCCCACTGACCTTGTAGGTTGTCTTTGGCGTTTGTGGGATGACAGTTTTGGAAACTGCCACAGCTGCCCATGATTCAGTCCTCTGAGGCCTGCTCCAGCCCATGCCAAACTGCGTTCCTCTCCCAGCCCGGCACGATATACCTTTCTGATCAACCATCCAGGTTGTCTTGGGCTGGAAATTTGTTTCACTTCGTCTTTTTGTGGGTTCTGCTGCTTTAGAATTTGTTTAGAGCCATTTTTCATAGGTATTTGGAGGGGTTTGGGAGAGAGCTCAAGCAAGTCACTGTTTTTACTATGTCATCTTGGCTCTGCCTCCCCCAATTCCAAAGTTCTTAAGAGAAACCTTGAGAATGTCCTTGTATTGCTTCTTCTCACCACCATGTGAGTGCTTGTCCTGTGTGATTACTCCATAAAATAATGCACCAACAGTGCATTGATATCTCTTGTCCCCCTTGTCCTCCAACATTTGTCATTTCTCTTTTCTATCATATTAGCCAATCTGACAGATATAAGGTGGTACCTCAGAGTTACTTTAATTTCCATTTCTCTAATCAATAGTGATTTAGAGCATTTTTTCACATAACTATAGATAGCTTTGATTACTTTGTCTGAAAACTGCCTGTTCATATCCTTTGACCATTTATCAATTGGAGAATGCCTCTTATTTTTATAAATTTGATTCAGTTCTCTACATATTTGAGAAATGAGACCTTTATCAGAGAAACTTGCTGTAAAATATTTTTCACAGGTATGGTACTAATTTTATATTTCCCTCTATCCTATTTTCCCCCCTGTTTATTCTACCATCTCCCTCCTTTCATCTTATCCTATGGCTTATTTCATGAATTTGAGGACTTGGCTAAATTTGTGGATATTGAAACAAAGCAGATGAATCTCTAAAATATGCAAATCAGTCTGTGATCTAATAGATTTGGGAGTTCCTTCCAATGATCAATTGATCCATCAACAAGCATTTAAGTGCTAACTATGTGTAAGGAATTATGCCAGGTCCTAGAGACACAAAGATAAAAATGAGAAGAAGAATGGTGTAGCAGACAGTGTAGAACACGGAATTAAGAAGACTTGGGTTCAAATTAAGATACTTATTACCTATGTGACCCTGGGCAAGTCACTTAACCTCTCCAGCATTAGTATTCTCATCTGCACAATGAGATACTTGATGATCTCTAAGGTCCCTTCCAACTCTAAATCCATGATCCTAGAAATCTATGAATGAGTCCCTGTCCTCACGGAACTTGCATTCTGTTTAGGTGCATCAACACGTACATAAATAAATATGTACGTATACACATATACAAAATAAATACAAGGTAGTTTTGAGAGGGAAAATAATAGGAGCTGGGGGCATAGAGAGTAGCTTCGCTTAGAACGTGATTCTTAAACTGAGTCTTGAAGGAAACTAAGGATTATAAGGGGCAGAATTGAAGACATGGGAGTAGCTAATGTAAAGACATAGAAAATGGAAAAGGACTGTCACATGTGAGGAATAATAATGGGGTCAGTAATAATAAGAGGGTCAGTTTAGCTGAAAGTTAGAGTGCATGAAACAGAGTAATGTATAATAAGGTCGGAAAGATACACTGGACCTGGACTGTGAGGGTCTTTAAATAACAAACAGAGGAGTTTACATATGATCCTAGAATCAACAGAATAAGTAACATGGTCAAATCTTCACTTCAGGAAATTTCCCTTTTGTGGATGTTTGAAGGCTGCATTGGAGTAGGCAGAAACTTGAAACAGGGAGATCAATTAGAATACTACTGCAATAATCCAGAAGAGACATGATGAGATTAGGGCCTGGAGTTAGGATGGAGTCTGTGTGAATAGGGAGAGATGACAGATATAAGAGATATCAAGGCAGAAATAATAAGATATTGGCAAGCCAGTGAATATGTGAAGTTAGTGGGAAGGAAGAAGAGAGGATAACAGGGATATTGAGAACCTGCAAGACTGGTGGTATTCTTGATAGAAATAAGAATTTTCAAAAGAGGGGTGGGTTTGAGAAGAAAGATGAAAACTATAACATGACTTACTCTGTCCTACTACTCACTGGACACTGCCTAGAAACACAGAGTTATCCAAGGGGTAAGCATCACGGCCTCTGGGGCCAGAGTTTGAGTTTACTGGAATAAATGAGAGAATTTTCTTAAAGGTAGCTGCTGTGGGTGCCTGAATAGTGATTAGATTATAAGTACTCTGAAGGGCTGGGGCCTGATGCAAAAGTGAAGAGACTAGGAGCCTACACAGTAAAGCCAGCATGGGGAGGAAGGAAACAATAGGGTAGTATGGGTGATAACAGGTAATGAGGGTGCTGAGATTGATTATTTGTGAGAAAAGTGGGAATGCAATCCATCTTCTGACCTTTTCATTAATTGACTGTACATTCTCTCAGGTTCATAGATCATCCCACAGTCTGTAGGGAATAAGATGAGTTCATTAAGTGTTTACCTATGTGAACTAGAACTATGCTTTGCAAAACAGTCCTTGATTTATCAAGGAGCATACCTTGATCTATCAAGGAACACACCAAAAGAGACAACATGGAAATATTTAAGTAAATACAAGATATATATATATATATATATATAGTAAATGGAAGGCAATCTTAAAGGAAAGGCCCTAGAAACTTGAAGGTGGGTAACACAAGTAAGGGCTACCAGCAAAAGGTGAGATTTGAACTGAGTTTTGAGGGAAATGAGGGAAAGCAAGAGGTAATAGGAGCGAGGAGGGAGATATCACTGTGTTAAGAGAACGATTACTGAGGTCTGTTACTACCAAATTAAAAATCAGTACCAACCATAACATCAGGAGAATAAAATCAACAATGGAGCTACAAAAAGAACAGTCACACTTTTTATTTTCTAAATAGCAAATCACTGTATTAAGTGATATTTATTTTCTTTATTCTTTTATATTTCATTTAGACACAAAAAGCACTTCCTAAACATTCAAATGACTTCTCCCAACAGCCTCTACAGAATATTATTTCCCAAGAAAAGATTACACTAAACTGCTTAACATGATCATGATGATTATGTCTAATAGCTTGTGTTATTATTCACTTTTCTGGTTTAATAGCATTTAACAAAAAAGAAGGATGTGTGCTATATTTTTCATATCTTGGAACCAACACTATCTGTTATACTTGACCTGAATTTTGCAAACAAATATAATTTCAAAAGCTATAAATAACTTACAGATCTCAAAACATATGTTATTTTAAATCCTCACTAAACGCTTTCCCACAACAACAAAGGTTCCAATGAACTTACCTCCATGCCTTGGTTGATGGCTAGCTTTGCCACTCTCATTGCTACAGGCCCCTAAAATTCATAAGGAAGAAAAAGAGATTTTGGGTGCATATTTGTGTAAATGATTCTGTTGCATACCTAGTATAATGCAGAACTCCTTTTAATCAAATCTGAGTCACACACAACAATAATACCTGTGAGGTGCTATAAGTAGATTGTAGCTTTCTTTAATTATAAATATACACAGGGATCTAATAAAAAAAAAACTTAGATCCAAACTTAAGTATTGATGTTAATGGTTACAATTATTTAGATGTAATATCATTGTTTTATTAAATTAAAAAAAAAAAAACTTGTTCCAATAAAAACTGAGAAAGGAGGTTGAAAGTGCTGTAAAGATGGAATTTAGGTATATTGCACCATAACTGTAATAGCTCACTTTTATTTGACATTTTTCCTCTCCATTAGATGAATACTGAATTATGTATACTAATAAAAATAAATACTGTCACTACACATTGTCCTGACATACTACATAAACAAGTCAGTGAGAGTAAAAAATGGAGAATAGCTGGGAATACTCTCTTATGGCACTCAAAGTTTTACTATATACTTTAAGAAGGTCTAATTTCTTACTACCATGTAAATAGAATTTATTCAGGAGGAAATTGCCCCATGTGTATGCTGATTTTTTTCTAATGGGTTAAAGATTGTTTATAAATAATCAAGTAACTTGTGGTCTACTTATATCTTTTATGGACACTTTTAAAGAATTCACTAGAAAAGAAGGCCTTCTTCTAGAAGTTCTTATGCACCCATCATTAGATGTCATGCTAGCTGGATTCTCTTTAAAAATCAAATACCCAAAACAATTTTTTTCAAAGATAAGTTCCTGATGCAATACTATTTGGATGAGAAGCAGCTTTGTGAAGAAGACCTATATTCAAATTCCACCTTTGACAATTGCTTGTGAGGTGACTAGGGTAAGTCGCTTAATCTCGCTGAACTTCATTCTGCTCTCTAAGACTTAACTAACAATTTAGAGATGAGGTGCTATTCTGCATTAGACGGAGGGAATTCTTACACCTGCAAAATCAGATTCTTGATTGTAGTTACAAGTTGATTACAACTTGTATTGGTACCTGTTATTCTTATGAATGATATTTCTGATTTAAGAGAAATACATGCTAAGTATATTAGTAAGCGAAATCATTTTTCCAGGAATTATTTAATAATTATCTCTTCTTATTTTTTTATTCCCTTTCATCATCACTTTCTTACTTCACTGTCATAACTTTAGAAATCTTTATTTTAAAACATTTCTGTAAAAAATAAAAAAGCTTTCTAAAAAAATCTGCTTTGAGGGGCCGCTAGGTGGCGCAGTAAATAGAGCACTGGCCCTGGAGTCAGGAAGATCCGAGTTCAAATCCGACCTCAGACACATAACACTCACTAGCTGTGTGACTCTGGGCAAGTCACTTAACTCCAATTGCCTCACCCAAAAAAAAAAAATCTGCTTTGAAATCATGCCTTATTTAACTTCTTTTATAAGTAAACCTGAACCCCAACTTCTTATATACTCTTCTCTCTTCTCAGGTATAAATTGAGAATTTTAGACATTTTGGGCTCAGTCAATATAGAAATGAAATAGATGAATACCATCTTTAAAAAGTTTTTTCTATTATTTAAAAGAATAATCATCAAGAATAAACTACAAGGGGCAGCTAGGTGGCACAGTGGATAGAGCTCTGGCCTTGAAGTCAGGAGGACCCGAGTTCAAATATGATCTCAGACACACAACACACAACATGTACTAGCTGTGTGACCCTAGGCAAGTCACTTAACACCAATTGCCTAGCAAAAAGCAAAAAAAAAAAAGAATAAACTACAGGTTCTCCATACTCCATCTCAAATTTCATTTGGTAACATTCATAAATACAATCTTTGTAAAATTTTAAAAGTCTTTTTTTTAAACTTTCCTGGAACATATTGTCTTGCAACACAACTCAGAAAACAAAGAAGACTACAAAACAGCCTAAATTTGAAAGCACCCCTTTACCTTCTGCAGTTGTAGTTCCAAAGTAGCAAAAAAAAAAATGATGACAGATGACTCTAGGAATCATATAGTTTTTAGATTGTCTATAAATGTTAACTGATCATATTTCTAAACATGAGGTCTTTTTTCAGTGGTCAACAAATGAATCTACTACAGGAGACATAAAATCATACAAACTTCGACATTTTCAATATAAATGAAACCAGTACTCACAAGGAAGCTAAATGGAAAGATATCTCACAGGTTTTCTTAGAGAGGAAAATAAAAGCATTGGCATACTAGATTTTATCATGCAACCAAAGACAACAAGAAATGTCATTTTATGGCACATTCGGTTATCTTGTATGCAGAGCTTATGAAAAACATAGGGAAAAGAAAGCTACCACGAAGATAACTGCTGCTTCAGTGCCAACATTTATTGAAGAAAATACAGAGATAGAGAAATTCTAAGAAAAATTTGAGAGTGAAGTGGCACAGGAGTTGATGAGCACCAAACAGCATTATAAAAATGAAATTGCTTATATTTTAGTAAATAGTAAATGACTTATTACTGATGTGAGCATCATTTTAAAGTTAGCTGTTTTTCTATATTAGATCACTGACCTTCTAGAGCAAGTATCAAAATCAATTCCAAATGAGAAAGATAAAAATGAGAAGATAAGGTATATAACAAAGGCAACTCCAAATGGATCTATTTAACAAGGTGTTGACGCCAAAAAATCTAAAATGTATTAAAGAATGGACATCAATAGAGACTACCATCACTTCCCAAAGAATTCAACTGATGTAAATTGGTCCATGATGAGGAAAGCAAATGATTCTAGAAGCTGCCTTTTCTGGCAAACATGGCAGACAAAGGCAACAAGAGTTTAGAATATAAACTAATTTGTAAAATCTTATGGAGGAAAATTGTTAGGCTTCCTCTAAATGAAAAAAAAAATCCTTAACAATTTCCCTTAAGCTTCATTTAAAAAAATTAGAACTATCCAAAAATTAAATAGGTTGCTTCAATGAAATAGTAGGTTTTCCCATCACTGGAAGTCTTTGGGCAAAGACTAGATGATCACTTGTCAGGCATGTTATAAAGGGAATTTGACCAATGAATTTATTTCAAGCTTGGAAATTTTGTATGTGAAGATTATGAACAAAATAGTCTTAAAGATTGCAAGCAGTAATGAACAGAAAAAAAACTTTACGTAAAGTTCAGAAAAAAAAATAAGTTATACTAAGGGTTCAATTTAATCCTTAGATTAAACTGGAAGGACAACAGATAAAATATAAAACAAATCCATAAAGATTTTTACAACAAAGTTTTCACCACAAAAGACAATGGAACTACCACATTTAGATTTTAATATCAGTTTCCTTTATGTGGTATGAGGAAGTAAGAATGCCAATAAGAAAACAGATGGGAAGAAAAAGCTGAAATGGACCAAGTATAATTTAAAGATATTTCTTGTAGAGGTGAAATGATTGTGAAGATATCTAAAAGATCAGATGATGAAGTACCTGGGGAAAATCACCTTAATATTACAAAAAAGAGAAATACACACACACACACACACACACACACACACACACATATGCACCCCCCCCCCCCAATATAACCACTACTCCATATGCCTACTTTCCCACTTCTACTCTATACATGACTTTAGGGCATCCTCATTGAATGTATGAAGAGGAAAGGGTCCCTTGAGTTCAAGTAACTTATGATATACTAAGGGAGAACAGGTATGTATACAAATAACTACAAAAGAAGCATGTGATTGTAGTGGCCCAAGGTTTATAGAACATCAGAGGAAAACTTCATAACGGATATAACAGTTAAGTTGGGCCATTAAAGGCAGATTGTTTTTAAGAAGATAAGATGTAGTTGAGGACAATCCATTAGATGCAGCAACATGGTATAGTGTATAGAATGCTGGACTTGGAGCACTAAAGACGTGGGTTAAAATTCTACTTCTGACATTTACTAGCTATGTGGTCATATTTAGCCTTTCTTAGTCTACTTCTTCATCTGTAAAATGGGGATAACAGTATTGCAGTAGTACTTACCCAAAGAAACAGGATGACATAGAGGCTAGAGAACCAGCCTCAGAGTCAGTAACACTTGGAGTTTAATCCTGCTTCTGACATATGGGGTTGTGAGACTCTGGACAAGTAAGTCATTTAATCTCTTTGCTCCAAGCAACTCTTTACCACATCTCTCTCTAGTCTATACTTCTAATCTCCACAGATCTTTCTCTACCATGACAGAGAAACCTCTTTACTCTAGAAGCTAACATCATTCCTGGATTACTTTTTCATTGGAAATACTTTTTTCCTTTAAAGATGCCTTCTTATTGAATGTTTCCTCCCATAACCTCCAATTTGAGGAGGAAAGTTAGGCTAAAGAAGTCTTCATTACTCTCTGGCTGCACTGCTGATTCATTACCACAGTACTTTCTCAACCATGCTTCCAAGCTGGCTATCTTTATCTCTTTCCCTCACCTTCACCTCTCCTTTATGTATTATCTTCCCACGTTATAATGTAAGCTTCTTGAGGCAGGGACTGTCTTTCTGCTTGTGCTTGTATTCCCAGGGCTTAGCATAGTAGCTGGGACATAAAAAGCACTTAATACATGCTTGCTGACTGAGTGAGTAGATACATAGAAGCAGTATGTTTCTTCACTCAGATCAGGTACTTACACCCTTGGTCCCCTCCACAAAGTTTTCTGCCTCATAGGTTTGTGGAGGCTCAAAAGAAATAACTTAAGAAAAGCACTTTGAACATTTTAAAGCACACATATTATCATCAGTTATTGTTATTCAAGGTGAAGGAAAAAACATTAAAAGAAAGTATGGAGGTGGGAATGCAAGTAGAATATACAGAGAATAACTAATAGTCTATTTTTGCTATAGCCAAAATATATGTGAGGAGAAGTAGTAAGAAAAAAATAGAAAAGTAGGCTGAGGAAGGACATAATTTGTCAAGGAAGAAGGATACTTCTTCCTCAGGGATAGTAATGAAGTAATATAAAAGGTTGGAAACAATCAGCTTTGAAAAATCACTTAGTGAACTGAGCCAAATCTTTGTACCAAATGCTTTCTATTTAGCGTCAGGTTTTGAACCAATTACAATTTCTGTACACGCAGAAGAGAGAGGTAATTTTAGAAAGTGTGGCAAATAGTGACTGTGCATCAACAAAGTCATATACTATAATAAGTAAAATACAGATATGTGCAGTTATTTTTAAAAATGAATACTTAAAATATATGTAGATTTAATATTAATATTTGGAATATGATGCTAACAAAACTCGAAGAACCAATTAAAGAGTTAATGGAAATTTATCATGGGTAGAACAAGATATTAACTACTTAATGTAAGTTCCCAAGACTACTTTCATCTTAAATCTTACTAAAATAATTTCTTCTGTTTATGAAAATGAGAACAATATGTGAAAGGAAAGTATAAGGTGTATATATATTGAATAATGAGGAAAAAAATGAAAGAGTAAGATACAAAGCCACAATAGAAAGAAATGGATTTTTTTTTTTGTTGTTAGATTAACACATCTTCTGTTTCACAACTTAAAAGAATTTTTCTTTTAGGGAGTTTACATTCCCAGTAAATTTCTTTGTTACTTTTGTTAATCATTTTATCAATCCATTGTAAAACAACAACAGGATAAAAGACGATAATAAGAAATACCTGAGGTAAAAATTCTCCTGCTAGGGCTAATGCCTTTCTGTAGGCAGCATCCCCTTTTTCATTTTGTTCTAAAACATGGCTGATCAATCCTATTGATTTTGCTTCCTGGCCATCTAATACACGAGCAGAGAAGATCATTTCCTTTGCCAGAGACATGCCAATGGCACGAGGTAATCTCTGTGTTCCTCCTGTAACATGAACAAAACAGAAAAATGAAAGCAATAACTTAATACAAGTTTTTAAATGTAATATCAGAGAGCTCCAACTTTTAATATAAAATTTTCATTGATATTTTTTTCTAGTTCTCCTTCATCTCCAAAATGTCCCTTCCATCTCTATTACTAAGATAATTGTCCTTCCTGAAAATCTTTTAAAGAGAAAAAAAAAGTTTTACAAAACTAGGCAACACACAATGGTTGAATTTGGTAGAAATTCCATGCAAAGGTGAGAAATATGTATACTTTTTTATGATTCCCATTTATTAGGCAACAGGTTTATTACATTTAACTTTTCAAAAATCCTATTCAAATGTTTAACTTCTTTCTTTTTCTAATTATTTGTCTAAATCTGAAAAGAGCACCTTAAGGTTCCCAACAATTATTGTGCTGTTTTTCTCTTTAGTTAACATTTTTGTTTAGGTATTTAAATACTGTGCTATTTGGTATATGCACACAAACACATCGTATTTTTTCACTGATGTTATTTCATTATAGGTGGTACCTTAAGGCATAACATAATTTCCCTATCCTTTTTAATCATGAACACTGCTACCTCTGTTTTTCTGGAATTACTTAAAGCATCATAATTGACATATGAATGTCTTATAAATAACATTATTATTGATTCATCTTTCTAATCTATTCAGCCCTTCTCTTCAATTTTGTAGGTGATTTCATTCTAGTAACATTAATAATTTATGATTTATAGGTGTTTGTCTTTTTGTCATGTCCTATGATCACGTTTTCTTTCTCAAAAAAGAGGAGGGGCATAAGCATTTATTAAATACTTATTATTAAGCACTTACATGCAAAACATTGTGGCAATTGCTTTATATATATATTATTTTATTTGATCCTCAAAACCACCCCAATGAAGTGGACGCTATTATGATCCTCATTTTATAGCTGAGGAACTAAGGCAAAAATTTGTCCAGGGCCAAAAAAACTAGTAAACATTTGAGGGTGGATTTTGAACTTAGGCAATATTGACTCCAGGTCAGAGCCCTATCCACTATGTCAATTAGCTGTTCTTCCCTCCTCCCCCCAAAAAAAGAAAGAAGATTACAAAGAAAGTGATAGGTATGAACACTATAATTGGAATGATGTGTTTCTACTCTTTTGCCCTTCATTTTTTTCAGGCAGTTCAGATTAAGATACTAGGTTTTACCTTTTCTTTTTAAATTTAATTTCTTTTTAAATTTCCTTTATAATTGGTGAAGATTTTTATGCTTGTGATCAGTTTCTATCCCATATACTTCACTTTTTTAGGAATCTGAATGGAATATTTATTGCATGGAAAGTTCATCATGCCTCACCGACCTTCAGTTAAAGAGTTTTATTTCACTGAAACTTGGAGAAAAAAAGCTTTCACAGAACTATAAATTTAATAAATAATTGGTAGAAACATGCAAGTAACATGTACTACATATTCATCTATGCATATTGTGTTCCTTTTATATAATGCACATACATAATGTAAAATAATACATAATACCAATACATTGTTATATTCATTTATACATATATGTATTCATTTTATATGTATGTGTGTATATTCATTTATACATGAATACAACAATGTATTGATAGGCATTCTCATTACTGTTGTACATATCCAACTTCATCTTTATGCTTAAAATCCAAGTAGAAGCTGAAGGTATATATTAAAGTTTGTTTTGAAAGATAGCAGCAGTTCAGAAAAATGATGCACTGGGTGACATTTTAGAGTGGTATATTAAGTAATTAAAAGTGACAATTAAAATCTAGTTGGTTGGGGCAGAGCTAAGATAGGTGAGTAGGAGAAGTACAGTAGAAGTTCTCCAAAACAATTATTTAATAGGGATTTAGAAAATGTACCAAAAAAAATCCTGATTAGGAAAAAAAAAGTCATAGTCATATTGCTAGCTCAGGTCAGCATTGGGAGACAAGAGTATGGATACCAGGAACATGCCCACGTAGAGAATTTCAGGACACAGCAACTGAAAGAGGACTAAGGTTTTGTATCATGGCAAGACAAAGTCCCACAGGAGACCCTGATCTGAGAAGGATAGAGGAATGGGTGTCATCTGACAATTCTGTCATTCACTACCCAAATCTGGCTCATGAGTAGACTAAAGAGGGGTCGTGTACTTTGGGGTGGCACTCCAGCATAAAGAGTTGTTGCAGCATAGGTACTGAGTTGGAATAAGTTGGAATAAGCAAACAATGGCTACGTAGCTTTGACTCTAGGAGTTCAGCAGGTTCTCAGTTATAACCTTTAGCCTAGTATGAAGCCTGCAAAGGAATAACCAGGAAAGGAATTCCAGATGAAAGGGGAGCCTGTAGTTTTTTCACTTTGAACAAGCAGAGCTTTCCAGCTGACTGACAGTGGCTAAATCTAGCATCAGTTTACTGGATACTCCCAACTAGGGCAAGCCAACAGGAGCATTATGCATATGCAAACATAAGTCAAGAAATTGCAGAGCACAGACCAAGCAAGTAGTGACCAGACTTTTCCCTGCATCAGAACACCATGTGGAGCAATGAAAGCTTGAAGGTCATCAACCTGAGCTGTACGTATCCTAGAATAATGCAACATTCAATATGCCAAGAAAGCAGGAGAAAGACGTGAGGACAACAACTTGGTTCAGACATTCTCTCCAGAAGTATACAGAGCCCAGCCCTAACATAAAGGCCAAGAAAGAATAATCAAACAAAATAAATAAACAAAATAAATAAAAATCTCACCATATAAAGCTATTATGGTGACATGAACACACAAGACACAGATCCAGAAGAAATTATGACTCCAAAACAAAGCAAAGCTTTTGTAAACAAAGCCTCAAAGAAAAGCATAGCTCAGGTACAAGAACAACTAGAATTCCTGGGCAAGTGAAGCATACTTTTTTTAAGTTAAAAAATGATTTAAAAAACCAAATGAGAGTGGTAGAAGGAAAAAATTGAAAAAAAATGAGAGCTATGGACAAAAGATATGGAAAGATTAACAACCTGAAACAAGAGGTACAAAACTTTACTGAAGCAACAGTCTCCTTGCCAATGAATATGTACTAAATTGAAGATAATGACTCTATGAGACAAGAAGAAATATGAAAACAAAATCAAACTGAAAATATAAAAGAAAACGTAAGGTATCCTATAGGAAAAATAATAGATCTCCAAAACAGGTCAGCGAGGAGATAATTTAAGAATCACTGGACTACCTGAAAGCTACTGACCAAAAAAGAGTCTAGACATCATATTTCAAGAACTCCTTAAATGAAACTGCTGAGATGTTTTAGAATCAGAGGGTAAAGTAGAAATATAAAGTATCCTGATTGTCTCCTGAAAGAAACCTCAAAATGAAACCCCCTAGAATATTATAGTATCAAGAGCTCCCAGGTCAAAGAAAAATACCACAAAATGTCAGAAAGAATTCAAATACTGAGGAACCACAGTGAATATCATACAAACTTTAACAGATCATATCAGAGAACTTGGAATAGGATATTCCAGGAAGCAAAAGATATAGGCTTGCAATAAAAATAATTTACCCAGCAAAACAGTTCAGGAGGAAATAGGGGACTGAAATACAGGACTCCCATGTATTCCTGATAAATAGATCAGAGTTGAATGGTGATTTTTTCTTGTTTTATAAGGTGGCAATGGGGAAAAAACAAAACAAAACAAAACAAAAAATCGGTTGGTTGTCCTTCATACTTAAAGAGGACCAAAATGACATCACTATGTTGGGGTCAAGGTGCAGTGTGTCCAACTGTGGCTCATTAGACCAATATAGGCTCAGAAGACTCTACCACAGGTTGGGCACAAATAGTCCACACTTGGAGTGGAGATGTCTAAATCTGCACATCTCATGTTCCTTTGGAGCTGCTGCAATTCTGCTTTGTTCATTGAGCACAGTATTTTCTTTGATGTGCGCATGCCTCTCGGGTTGGTCTTTTATCAGTAACTCCTATGTCACACAATCGATTCCAAAGTTCTTCAGAGAGACCTTGAGAGTGTCCTTGTATCACTTCTGACCTCTGTGTGAGTGCTTGCCTTGTGACAGTTCTCCATAAAATAGTCTTTTAGGCAAATATACTTTTGGCAGTCAAACAATGTGGCCAGCCCATTGATGTTAGACTTTGCAGGAGGGTTTGAATGTTTGGCAGTTCAGCTCAAGAAAGGACCTCAGTGTCTGGTACCTTATTTTACCAGATGATATTCAGAATCTTCCCAAAACAATTCAAATGGAAACAATTCAGTTTCCTGGCATGGCTGTTATACCGTCCAGGTTTCACAGACATACAATAATGAGGTCAGCACAATGACTCTGTAGATCTTCCATTTGGTAAGCAGCCTAATACCTTTTCTGTCCTACACTTTTCTTTGGAGCCTCCCAAAGAGCAAACTTTCTTCCTCCTACAAAAACATTTTTGTTTCAGTTTATTTTCCTTTGACTTTCCCATCCTCATAAGTTCTCTTTCATCTTTTTTTACATTCTCCTACCTACATAAACAGCCTATCATAATGCACAATATAATTAGATCACTTCCTTGTTCATAAGCCTTCACCTTACTATGTTTTCATTCAGCTTCCTCCCTCCCTTCTCTGAGAGTCTTTGTCAGTGGTTCCCTATAACCTAAAAAAACAACGTCCAAATTCCAGTGCTTTATATTCAGTGTTGTGGTAGAAGCAATAGCCTATCTGCTCCTCCTGCTCTCACCCCTACCTCCACCCTCCAAGGCTTAGACTGTTGTCTCTTACTTCCTTATGTCCTGGGTATAAAGAAGTCAAGAGAAGCTTCAGGTACCTTCTCTCTTAAAGGTAAATCACAATGGGCTACACAGAAAAGACTGGTTTTCATGCTTCGGGTGGTACTTTTGGTGATGCCTCTAGAGATGGTGGTTGTTTGCTCTGACTATCCTCTATCCCCACCCCCACCCCCAAATTTGAGGAGGAAAAAGGAATAAACATTTATAGAGCACCTATTA